TCACGGGGAAAGAGGAAGATGGGCTTTGACACCAGTGGGCAGAAAAAATGCCCGCTGATGGGGGGAATCTTTCTTCCTCTTTTTTAACACAAAGTTTCAGGTGTTTTTTTGTCTCACATTATTGCTTTTGATCTAAATGGTGGGGGGCTAGCTCTAAAAAGGAGAGTCCCTCAGCTCTGCATTAGGTCCTAAAAGCGCTTCATGGAAATGGCAGTGACAAAATCAGCTGTTTATAGATCCTTGCTCACAGACTGAGCCCTTCTGTCTGAGGACAGCTCCAATCAGCCCCTGCATGACTCCCCCCACAACAGAGACACCGTCCCTCTGCCAGAGTGTGGAGCAAACAGAAGAGGGAAGGACGTACCTCGATTCTCATGTGACTCAAGGGGTCAAGTGCAGGTGCTGCAACAGACAGAAGCAGTGGGAACACCTCCCTGGGTACTGTCCAGGGCAAAGGAGGGAATAAGCTGTACCTGATAAAGACATGTTACAGCAAAGAGGCTTCCTGCACGCTGAAGGGCTCTGGAAGATGCTGCACCTTTGAAATGGTCATGCTCAGCGCAGTTATTTACAGGTGGACAGAGGAACTGAGATATCAGCAGAGCCCAATGTCCTGAAACACCAGCAAAGGATCCATGTTGTTGGCATCACCACCTTAATTCACACTCTGAACTTCTGGTCGGCAGAGTCCGGGCACTTGCAGGGTATGATTCAGCCTGAAGCCAACACCTCGGGTATGTCAGCTGAATCAGACCATAAATACATCAACTCCTCGGCACAGCCTGCAATGGGAGCTGGTGGTGTCTGCACCACATCAGACACCCCTTATGAGCATCTAACCCGTGGGCAAGGCGAGCCCTGCATGAAGCACCCACTAACGCCGTGGGCTGAGCAACCAAAGGGCTGCCGGGACAGACCCTCCTCTCTGCTGGGGCTACCGCAGGCCATGAAGGGCACCGACTGCCAGGGAAATCAGGGCCAGCAGTCTGACACCAGTGACATCTGTCAAGGATTCTGTCAGAAAATGTCACTCTGACAAAGATGATTTTTTCTATGAAATCAAGTCCAACATTTCCAGATTTTTTCCTTCTCCAGAGGTGAAAAACAATTTAGCATTTTTATACTATTTTTACTTTTCATAACCCGTCACTGGTGTGGAGAGTGTCACGAAGGTGATATAGAAATAAAGCAAAATAAGGTCCAAGCTCATTTTTAGACAAATCTTCTGACACATTCAGACTTTTCTTTTTCCTACTTAGAATAAAATATGGAATTTCAGTGCTACAGCTTGACAATTCCATGTTTCAGCCAGCTCTATCAGATGTCCCAGGTGGGGTCAGACCTTTTGAGTTCATTTACTACCTTGCACCAAAATTCAGCATTATCAGTAAACACGCATCTAAGCTCCTGCGCACAGTCAGAAGTCACTAGCCCGGCCTGCCAACTGCATGCAGTGCCACACTGCACACAAAGACGACCACAAGCAGTGCACGTTGCTCTTAGGTGTTGGATGATCTTTCTATTAAAAAAATTTCTCCTTGGAAAGTCACACCATCCACGGGAGACTGCACGGTAATTACACAGTGCCTTTTGTGTTCACCAGTTTCTTAATATTGGGGTGCCACAGAAGTAACACTAGCCTGCCTTTGTTCTCTTTCCCAAAGAGAAAGTACAAAACAAGTAATTAATGTCAGATTGTTAACGACCTATCGCTGTGAGTCTGACTGGAATGAGCAAACAGAACATATTTAACATCGCAGGTGCAGATCCAAGGACAAAAACAACATGGAAGAAACCCTTTACCCCTCCTCCTCTTTCCTCTCTCTCACTTACACTCCTTTTTCCACTAGGCAGAATAAAACCCTTTTAACTATCCAGAGGCTCTTCCTAGGCATTTGTTCTGTCTGGCCACCACCAACCATTTAGGGTAACTGAACAAAGCACGAGCAGATTCGTGAGCTGAAACTAACATACTGGCTTCTACCTCTCCTCAGAAAAGCTTTAGATTCACAGATCCCAAATGTACTTGTTTGGACACCAGCAGCAGTGACAGCAACCGCAACAGCATCCCCCAGCTCTGCGTGCACTGGGCTGCACGCCCCAGCTGCTCAGAGCTACACAAGCTTCCTAAAGCCAAAAGCTGCTTGCTCGTACTAGTATACAAGTAGCAGCATCTGGACACTGCTTTTGTAGATGGTGGGAGGACAGGAAACAGGGTTATCATAATCTATCTCCTTCATATTCAAGATGCTGTACAAACATCTAGGGGAGACACAGGTGTAGTTTCTGGGTGACTTGGTGAAGCAAGATGACCGAATGGCCTGCTCAGAATCTGCCTCAGGAGATGACAGTTCTGGCCTTTGTCTTATATTGCAAGGCCATTTCCCTCTTGAAAAAAGGAAACACTCTGGAAAGCCCATCACTCCAAAAGGACAATTAAGCATTCAGCTAATTAACATAGAGTACAGTATAGTTCCACATGGCAGAGAGGAGATAACTCATGAACACACATTGTAGATCTCGCCTCTGCTCTGCTGCACAGAGACAAGCCCCCTCCCTCAAGATGTTCCAGCAGACTCACCATGAGAACAAAGGCAGCTTCCACCACCTCCCAGGCGTCAACTCCCTCTCCCACCCAAGAAGGGCAAGACCGGAATACTCTAGCTATGCTCCATGAGTCTGTAGTAGCAGCCCCACAAGATCATCGAGTCCAATGCCCCTACATCATCCTCCACATCATTGATGAAGATGTTGAACAGGATTGGGGCATTGACCCCTGGGGTACAATGCTAGTTACTCGCCTTCAGCTAGACTTCGTACCACTGATCACCACCTTGAATGAACACGCACACACAAGAATGGCCTAAAATGGCATCCTGGATTCTAGCTCTTGCTTCACATCTCTTAGGAAGCACAAAGGCTTTCCCTGACCTCGCTGTGACTGGTGCATGGTATTTCCCCTTCTAGAAGGGGATCAAAGACTCCAACAAACAGGAAAGCACTACAGAAATAAAAATAAACCCAAAGACTTTGGAATGCCTACATTTTTTTCCAAACTCATTCTCCCTGTTCTTCAGTCTCACATCTTACTCAGAAAAGTAAAATGAGAAGCAGGAAAGCAACCCTTGCTCTGCTCAGTAGAATTTCAGTATTGAAGCTGCTGTGAGAAATGAACACCACCAGGAAGAAAAAAAGAAAAAAAACCAGTCTAACGCCATCCTGTCAAATACAGGGCAGCCTTGGGCAGCCTCATCTGTCACCCCTGTCACAGAGGCTAGGGAACAGTACAGCTGTATATGAAGAAGATGACATAGTCACTGGCATCGTGTTTTCTAGGAAAAGACACCCAAGTTTGTGCTTCCAGAAGATTAACCCTAATCCCAAAAGTGGACATGGGTGAAGCAAAGGACAAATTCATCATGCTGAAGGGTGAAAACACTGTGTGCATCTGGCTAGAGGCTTCCACTGTCCTCTGCATTACACCTGTCAGAGTATGAGAACAGATTAAAATCTGTTCATCAAATTGGGAATGATTTTGCATTCTTCTGAGTTATTTGCTTATGGCTGTGAACTGCTACTTTATAAATACAAGATACGTGAAGCATAAAACCTCAGAGCAAACCAATTAACAGACCCCAAACATAAGTAATATTAATAATTTGAAATGTCTAGTACATTAATCACAATTCAAAAACAAATGGCATATTTGTTTTCCTGTTAAGATGCCAGTAAAAGTGGCAAATAGATACAAGCATTATTGGCTGTGTACAGACAACTATGTAGAGAGCAAACCAATGAATTCTGGAAGCAGAAGTTAGTTCCCTGTGGAACAGAAATTAATCCCTTTGCTTTGAACAGAAAGTGGGCATGTGTTGATAAGGAGGGCTGTCAACTCATTCCATCGGGACAGTGAGAAATATCCAAGCATTTTTTTAGTGTAACAAGACCACTCCAACAATGATGCCTTGCTGTTTGCTGCCTTAGATAGACCCCTTGCTGGGCAGACTGTGGCTCTTCTCTTTCCTACTCTGTCCAAGAAAAATTACAAGTCTTTTTTTTTATACACACAAATGAACTAGCCAGCTGAGATTGGAGAAGCTTCCCCTTGCTACTGTGGCATTTCCTTTCCGCATACATTTTAATATGGCACAAGTTATTCTGAAAACACGCAGAGAACTATAACAATGAACAATAATCCCACTTTACTATTTGAGTTGTTTCCAGTATTCCAGGCAGGAAGATGCTATCTATTCTGTTAATAAAATCTCATTTTCTATAGTGTTTTCTGTAAGGGTTATACTTAAAAAAAAAAAGAAACAACTTATGGGGGGCACTAAATGGAACAGGTAAAGCTCAGGTTTTATACTGCAATTACCGTGCATACACACCAGGCCCTCAGAAGTGACAGGTATGGAAAAGAAACTTCTATTAAGAATCTCAAGAATCTCAACACCTTGCTGAAATACTTCCGTCAACACAGCAACCTAGACAGGTACATATGAACAACTGACCCAGGAAAGGAAGCATTTATTTGCAGAATATACTCCTGTGTTGACTGATCTGTTACTGATATACTTAATTAATTACTGGTATTCTTAATTAGAGGGTTGATTTAAACATCACTATGGCTGGAGTCACTTCACACTGCTGCTTGTGATTAGAGAGCCACGATTATGCTGCACGGAACACTTCCTTTTTGCCTTTTTACAGTAACGCATGACTTCCATCTCGGACAGCAGTGTGACACAGAGGGGCCGCTGTCCGAATCACATAGCGACAGCAAAGGGAGAGAGAATAGACTCACATAACTGTGTTTTAGCACAGAGAAGACAGCAGGAGTGGAATAAATAGCACCTCCTCACAAGGAGAGCATCAATTACCTTTGGGCGCTTCCATTCAACTTTCCTTGGCGGTGCTGACTGATAGAAAAGGGACTCATCTGAGGCTGGAAACTCAGGATCTTCAAAGAGTTGTCTCCGCTGGATACACTGCCCTTTCAGCTCGTGGTACTTCTGATCTCTGAAGAGTTGCACTGATGAAGACATATCTTTCTGTCTAGATAAGATGAATATTGGTTTGTGTAAATTACGGAGGCTCTTTAAAGTCCAGAGATGATACCACTCATTGGTCTTTAACAACAGAGCACGTAACTTGTTCTAAACACGATTAACAACTGATCTCCATAAAAAAAAAAAAAAAAAACAGATAATAAATTAGATTATGTGAAGTAGTAGACTAGAAAACCATTGACACCAAGAAGATCTTTTATATTAGGATGGTATTTTTGGCTGAACAGAACTCTTATCAGGAGAGATATTAGAGTCCAGACCAGGCTAAAAAACAGCATTTTGCTTTAGCTAATTGATTGGAAAGGTGAGAGAGTAGGTCTTGGCTCTCAATCTGTACCACGTGTGAAGGGCTGGACCATATTTCTGTCCTACATTATTCTTCTGGCCACTAAAACTCTAATCATCTATTCCAACTCTCATGCCTAAAGAAAACAAAAAACAGATTTCCACAGTTCTACATCTTACTTTAAGTGACAATACTTTGGCTGGTATTAGTGTCTTTGAACTTTATGTTATACTTCAGGGAACCAAATTCCCAGAAGCAGCACGTATTTGGAAATAACTGATGACAATTAAAAAAAAAAAGCACCCAAACCTACAACAACAACAAAAAACCCAGACAACTTGTTCCCAGGCTTTACTTCCCGGAATTGTGACTATCTAACCCAGGGAAGTTTATGGTCACAGCCACAGAGCTCAAATAAATTGCTTAAGAACTTTTACAAATCAGAAATCAACTACAGAAATCATTCAGGATAGTCTGAAGTCTGGGGGACATGAGGGATGGTACTGTCTTTCCAAGGGGCTATTTCAAGACAGGGAGCGGAGAAAGTATCTGAACTTACTCTGTTTGGAACGCTCCTGTGTGTCAATTCCTCTCCCTGCCACAGGTTAGAGATGTATCTTCCCTTGTAGATGTAACTACAGCAATAAAGAGAAATGCAGGTTGTCCTGATGTCAGATCATTAAGATTTAAACAATGTACGTGCTATGGAGCACCCGTCACATTGTCCTGAAGGCCTACTGGCTGTGTCCTGTTGCAGGGATCTCAGCTCGTGCTCCCAGAGCCACTGCAGTACGAATTGGATGAGATTCCATAAACTGTTCAAAATGGCTCACTGACATTATGCTATTTATAGCAGTTTCCTTTTTTCTTAAGGGCTATTCTATTAATTATCTCTCCCCTCCCCCCCCCCCAAAAAAAAAGTCACAAGGCATCTCACTTGGCAGTTGGGCTCCCAAGACAAGGCAAATAGACTTGCTTCCCCCCACAAACCAATTCTTGAAATGCAAGTGCAGAACAGCTTGTCAATTACACAAAGATAGGTCAGGGACAAAAAAAATTAAATAGTTTGGCTAATTTGGGTGGGATATAGATTATTTCATGATAACTGGCATTCTTGCCTATTAAAAAACCCCAAGAGCTAACTAACATTCTAAACCAAGCCTGTTTGCTTGTTTTTAAACTGGCCCCTGGGTGATCAGCTTCTCAGCTGTCCCTGCCGAGTTCATAGATGGGTCTTTAGTGACCTCACTCCCCCACCCTCTCCCCTTCTATCTGCTGGACTGGAACGTGAGTCCTTCCAGGATTAACACCCCATTACGCAGTCTGGCAGCAACGCGCAGGACGTGCTCACAGAGCACAGCACGTGCGATCAAGGTGCTGCCTGCCTCGCCCTGGCTCCGCGGGACAGCACTCCCCAAGGGACGGTTAACCTGCCATCCTGAGCTAACGACAATGCAAGCGCAGAACAACTTGTCAGTGATACAAAGATAGCTCAGGGACAAAAAATAAAAAAAAATTAAATAGTTTGGCTAATTTGGGTGGGATATAGATGATTTCATGATAACTGGCATTCTTGCCCATGAAAAATTCCCCACAAGCTCTCCACCCACCCCCCAGCAGACACTGCTCTGGAGCAGGACTGAAGCCCCACCACCATCTGCTGAACTAGTAGGAACACACTTTTGCAGGAACCCAAAACCACCCTTCTGAAACACAGCAAAAGTTTCTTTTTCTTGTTGTAAAGTCCACAATAAAGAATGCAAATGCAGTTTCTATACAATAGCCTGGCGGTTTGAGCACCGAGGATGGAGGGCCACAGCGGAGCCCCTGCTGACCCAGCTGAGACAGACAGCAGGCACCTGGCTCCCACTCCAAGGTTCATTTTTGAAGCAGCTCCCAGTTTCTGACTCTCAGCTGAGCATCGACCCTCCCAAACTAAGCAGCCCACTCCTTCCTCCTCTGGAGTTCACAGCAGACAGCAGCACAGCTCCCCTGCTCCGCACCCAGCAGGTTTACCTCTGCTTCGGCTGACACGCGTAGGGTACAGCAGCACCAAGGAAACCCCCAGCACGGCTTGGCAAACGCTCCTTCCAGCGCTCCTGCGCCGTCATGTGATACGGAGCAAGCAGAACACAGCAGAACGAGGGCTAAGAAACACGGGCTTAAAAATACCGTACCACAGTTTGGAGACCCTCTACCACCAGAGAGAAAGGGACTGCTCCAGGGGAGGGACAGAAGAGAGGGGAAGGGGGGAAAAAAAGCCCTGAGCAGCTCCACAGGTCAGCAATGCTTATGTTTTTGGTTTCTTTCCCTGTCTACAATTACAGTTTTGCTCTTTATCTTCTGCAGCCTCTGAGCTGAGCTCCCCAGCGCTGCACCCCTGGGCAGCCCACCCCATCCCTTCTACAGCCCCATGGCAATCCCCGTGGTATCACCAGGAGTACAGGAGGTCCCATACTCTCAGCTTTCAACCACTGAGATGTAAAGTCTCTCTCTGACCCTCTCTTTTTCCAGCAAGATTCCTGTTTTGATCTGAAGAAGGATAGCAGCAGCACAGCTAGCACAAGCCACCGCAGGTCCCCTCTCCAGCCCCCTCCTCAGCCTGACAACAGAAGCATTTCATTTTTACTTACAGTTCATACTCAGAGGTGCTTCCCCTTGTCAGAGCCAGCAAGAGTCCAGCTAAATCACCCTCAACACAGCAGCAAATACCAGCTCCTGGCATTATTAGCAACTTTAAATTAAAGAGACATCCACCTGAAATCCAAGTCTTCAGACGAGCATTAAGATGAGCTTCAAGTATTATTTCCACTACCCAACAGGATTGCTTTGCACTCACATTTTCCCGTCTTAAACCTTCTCTTCCCCAGCTGCTACATAGAAGATCCACAACAAACAAGACTGACTGACTGTCCAAACAGCTGTGAGCATGAAAATTACACCCTCTCTACCATTAAACCCATGCAATAAGCACACGAAAACTAAAAGAAGTCATCTCTTCTCAGCCGGTTTTTGTTACTCTGTGTAACTAAGCGACACACAGGGTGAAAAGTCAGCGAGAGAAGTTATTGCAGCTGCGGAGCCAGCGGCACCCCTCAGCAGCCAGCCAGCTTGCAGGCGAAAGCATCCCCCCTGCTCCCATCGCTGCAGGGGGACAGGGGGCACAGGGCTGGTGCTGCCTTACAAACCAGCGCTTTCTGTCCCAAGGCAAACGCTGCCCAGCTGCGGGGAGCCCTCTGTTCCAGATGCAACTCCTCTTCAAGGAGGAGGCTTGGCACATCGTAACACACACATTTGATCACACACCCCAGGGTTCTGATCCAGCTGCAGGACTCAAATGAATTTCCAGGCACAGCATCAGGACCGACAGGGCAGGGCACATTTCTAGCTGGTATTTAATGCCACAGCTGAACACAGCTGCTCCTTCCAGCATGTGGATCTCACGATGAAACTGCCCAAGCTCAGGCACACCCCAGCCTCAGGACCACGTCCCTGCTGCGCCAGGAGCCCCCCCCGCAGAAGACCATGGGGGGATGCCAGAGAGGACACAGGCAGCGTATGCTCTGCTCGGGGGTCGCGTCCTGGTTTTACGATTATTACCCATTTGCAAGAACCGAGCTTGCTTTGGGTTCATGCAAACAGTAACCTCACGGGTAATAACCACCAACACGCGGTTCTTGGGTTTCTCTTTTGTAACTGCGGTTGTGCGCCTGTCTTGACAACGCACAGAAACCTCCCAGCTCTAGACTCTGTTAATACTGATTTCTCACCAAACCTCAAGGCCGCTGTTTGGACTGTGACAGCAAAACAGGGACTCAAGTATTTATCTGTTTGCAAACGTAATTTAGTATTTTCCCAAACATGTCTTTCCCCAAACTCATAGCTTGCTTCAGAGCAATCAAATCAGTGAGTGCTTCCAAAACAGCAGCCCTGCAGCCAAAAGCTTTAAATTACTCTGCACTGGTTTGCTGTAAAACTAATTGAAGGCACATCCAGGGCTCCAGCTGGAAAAGGTTATTGCCTTCCCTTCCTGGGCAGAACGATCCCAGGTCCTTACAGAGCAGTGACTTTGCAAATCTGTATTACGAGTGGAGGGGAATTTAAAGCAGTTGAAAAACTTGCACTTTGCACACACTTGGGTTTTGTGATCTTGGCTGTTTAACTGCTACTGATGATCAGAAGCATCACTGCCCATAACACAGAGCATGGCTACTGGAGAAGCTCACTCATTCAAATTCTTTAAACAGTTCAACACACTAACTGCACTGGGAGTCCTTATGCAGGATTGGGTATCCTCGCTTCTTCTGCATGAGCCAATATGAAAGTACAAAGTCAGCGTTAAACCTGTATTGTGTGGATATGCAATTGCCTTTGTAAGAGAATATTAAATTTGGATCAAATTTCCTGCACAGGATAATTTAATAGCACCCAGGTCCAGTATTAATGGCTGTGGTCCCAGGGCTTCTTAGCTGTTTCGGATGGCAATGCTCGCCCTGCTGGGATGAAATACCACGTTTTACTGCATGCTCTGGGCTCTGCTGATGCCACGACTGTGCAGCACCAATCCCTCCCTAGATCTCAGCCAGCATTCAGAAGTTCAAACCCCTCCACACATCCGGACTCTGAGGGTCTCTGACTCCTCGAGCAGCCAGGGTGACAGCACAAGACTGAATATACACCACTACGGATA